GAGAAATGTTATGATTTTATTGAATCATAAGAATCTGCAGTTTTTCGCTCTTCTATTCAATTCTACAGAGCGTTGAATTGAATTCAATGTTGCATTGAATCCCTTCTCTTACATGAGTTCTTGTTTGTTGAAAGTCGTCGCTTTCCATGAAGTTTGCCATTGAGTGCCAATTCAAAGCATTTGGCCAACTCTTCGCACTGATTCGTATGCAATACATGTGCGCCCACTCCTAATGTCAAGTATATTCACACTTTGATTACCACTTTTTTAATCAACGCGACTATACTCAACACAATTACTTTCTTATGTTTGATTTGATTTCGTTTTACAGTTATATTACCGGTATATGTATCTCAGACATATTTTGGCACAAAATATTTACGCAAATTGTTTATTTTAAACCACAATAATTTAAAGTCATTTATATGTAAATTTAATATTTTAGTGCTGTATTTAAATAAATTTTTATAATTTTCAATGTATACTAATTCTCTAATGTCTGCGATATATGGAAATTATGATAATTTTGGGTTCAATTATCTCTATATTGGAAATAAATTTTAAATAATCTCTTATTTATACTGTAAATTCAATAGAGAAATACAATAAAAGGGTTGATTTATTATCATTATTTGCTAATTTATTTTGAAAATCAAAGTGAAATTAATGGAAAATACAAATTGTTTTAAAGCATTTGAAGCATAATTAATTATTTGATTAATACGGCATACAAGGAATTATTTAAAACCTAATCGATCTATACTGCGTTAATAATTAAATTTTATTTTTATATAAAATATTTTAAAAGCTCTTAAACTCTTTAAATATTAAATATTAAAAATATAAAATATTTGAATAAATCCTGTCATATTTAATAGAAAATCATATTTACTTTAAAACGAATTTTCCAATAAGTTATATATTAAATAAAAAGCAAATACAGTATATAGAGGTTCAATGAATCATATAACAGAATATTCTGCACCATTATTATGGGATGTTTTTTATGTAACGATATCTCTATAAAAACTAATAACAGTAAACTGTATCCTAAATGATGAATGAATTGACACGAAATTTCCGACTCAATAAATAAAGTTATTTAAACTTAAAATCAATAGATTAATGACAGATAACATGTAAAACACAATTTTATGTTACGTTACACACAATTGTAACTTATTGTCACATGCTTTACAATAAGCCGACGTTTGACGTGATAAATAAAAGGCTTATATAACTGTATTTCTCTTAATTCATTGCAATCACACACAAAAAGTACTAAAAAATCGCATACCTTTCCCGCAACCAGATCCTCCTTCAAAGCAGAATTTGCCGTCAATTATGCCAAACCTTCGCAACTCATTAATGGGCCAAAAGCCAAGTAGTCGGGGCGGTATTGCCGACACCAAACAGAATGTATAGTCCTGGAGGTGTAGGCGCGCGGGTCCGGTACTGAGTTTGCTTTTTGGCGGAAGATTTGTGATTTGGACGAGAAATTGTTGCACTGAAACACACACAACACAAACACATAATTATTTATTCATCCGCTAAACTCAATGCAAATTGAATTTGTGTCGCAAATAATTAGCCGCTAATCGATGGGCAGAGACAGTACTGACCTTCGCTGAGATGTGCCTTAATCTTCACCTGCCATTGGATTAGCACTTCCCTTGTGTCAAACGCCAGCACCACAATCAGGATGTCGCAAATAATTAGCCGCTAATCGATGGGCAGAGACAGTACTGACCTTCGCTGAGATGTGCCTTAATCTTGACCTGCCATTGGATTAGCACTTCCCTTGTGTCAAACGCCAGCACCACAATCAGGTCTCGGCATACAATGGCAATAGTATTGCTCTCTTTGTCTAAAGTAAATCCACTTTCGATGGCGAGGAAGCCGTCGAGAGATAGCGACGATTTGGTGGATGCGTTTTTGCACCGGTCTTTGCTGTCGCGATATATTTGCAAATGTAGGCAATCTGTGGGATTAGACGTGAAACAAACACATTTACAATCATTGGTGTTATGACTCTAATCGATACAAATTGTTTGCGCGGATCAGAGGAATGGAGTCAATAATACCACAAATTAAGGCAAAATAAATGTGTTTTGTGGTGTCATTAGAAAAAACAGGAAACACCGAAAATATGCCAATTTTTTATTCACTACACATAGAGTGCTATTCAATGCATTCGTGGAGTCAGTGATGGAGTGAATGGAGTTTTTTCCTCAAGAATTGGCACTGATTTCTAATTGAGTGAATAGACCGACAAAACATCACTCAATAATACAAATATATTCTTATGACTCGAAAATAACGATTAATATTCTGTTAGGAAAACAGTTCCGAGAATAGAGAGAAGAAACACATTAATTGTAATAAAATTGTTATTTTCATTGTTAGCCGACACTTAGCGCAAGTGATGTTCATATGTATAATATAGTGCCTACTATTAAGTATACGACAAAAAAGTGCTTATTCTTACGAAATGGGGTAGAATTGTGCCGATTTTGTCGCAAATTTAAATATAACCATTGTTTTGATAAATAGATTTAGACGCTCTTAGTATATATCATTAAAATTTAATGGTTTGTAACTTTAGTTTTAAAACAATTGCTAAATTAATAATTATTGCTGAGCGCAGAGTCTGGAGATCAATGGACTGACAGACGACTAGAGATTTAGACATTTAGACAGCATTTTGTGTGACATTAGGAAGAGTGGGGAAAGAGATGAAGATCTTTCTGTTATAGATCTTTGATCTCTGGATAGTGTGTGTAATGATAAGAGTGCCATAAAAGCACAATCGTGTTCACCATTTGTTTTATATCCCAATATAAAAGACAAATTCACCAAAAATACACATTTTCTATCTCAACGTATAAATATAACGTTCATAATATTATATTTGTCTTATTTCTAATATTTATGTATATTTTAAGTAAAGTCTTAAAATTAAATTAAACTTTTTCATATTTATATTTAAAGCATAGTTAAAGATAAATAAACAAGAAAAAAACTTTTTTATGTGTTTTCTTTCATATTCAGTAAAATTCATGATTTCATTAAAGCGATAATAAATTATTTTTATGAGCTTTACTTTAATTTCGACAAAAAGCTCCCATAATTCAGTCAAAATAATATCATACATGTATATAAAAAATTATATTTTACATTTTACTAAATAATAAATATCAAACGCGACAAAATATATATATACTATTGACTTATGATTTGAGTGCAATTTTCTAGTCGATTATGAGATTTATTATTATTTTCGGTACGAAATGCTAAAAATTGCAGAATTTTTCGGCGAAATCAATGACTACATCCCTTTCCCCAACTGACAGACCCACCCATTTATTAATATAAGTTATCGTATAAATAGACACAAAACTATTTTCTTATGAATGGCTTAATGGCATTGAATGTGACATTTAATAAAAGATTTATATCTGTGTAATGAAAATCGTGTGGAGATCATCAATAAAAATAATTTCAATTCATAATTTAATTTGAATACATTTTATGAATACATTTTTTCCTAACATTGATTTTAATCCTCAGTGAATATCAGAATATATTCAGAATAATGTAAAAATATAATTAATTCATGACTTAAATGAAACCATTAGTAACGATTTAACGCTAATTAAAGTCAAGAATAAAATGTTTGATCATTTGATTAATAGACACGAAGTCTACACAGTATTTACTTATCATATATTTTAATAAATCGTTTGTAAAGTTTTACAAAACATAAAAAGGAGTGAATCTATCACTCATTGAATGCTTTGTTAATCACATGGACTTATTTTCACGACTTATTTGCAGTCGTTTTTCCTCTCAAAAGACTTGACGTTCAGCTAATAAGCTAAGAGTGATAGCAAGTCATCCAAACGCAGACTATTCACTCATTTTTCATCTCAAATTCCCACTTAAACTACGGAACAGAAATAGATTCATAAGCTTATCATTTGTAGTCACCTTTTCATATACCAGGGCTTAAAATGTTTTCTATCAGTTGTACGCCACTACCTCCCCATCCCCTTTCAATATCATTTTCTGAATTGTAATCAAAAAAATTGTTGCAATAATCGGATATTTTCAAAAATCAATACAGATATGGGTGCCTACAATATATTGAGTGAGTGAGCACATATTTCTATTGTCATCATTTTTCAGGGATTAGTTTCTTTCACGAAAGCCTTGTATTAATTATTTTTACGCCAATTTTTATCGACTCTACAATATTATATAATACACTGAATTATTTCTATTTATAACGTATTGTTTTAAACTTATTGTTATAAATATAAACCCATTGACAAATAAATTTTATATAACAACGTTAGTTATATAATATACTGTTATTTCAGATTACTTGAAGTTTTAAAAGTATTATATAAAGTTTGGACAGAAATATGTTGAAAAGATTAATAATTATTTATAATCAATCATTTCTATTTAGTTGTAAATGTTTTTATCAAAAACTACTTCAACACATATTTAATGATTTAAAAATGCTCACTCAATTTATAAACACATACTTTACCAGTGAACTCAAATTGCTATTATTAAATATAGAGGGGATATAAATTAAAGTGAAGTATTATACTCTTCAGGACATACAAACTCAATGATAATCACGTCTCATAACAAATATATAAATAAGATTTAAAATCAATTGAGTCTCGACATGATTAATATTTACGATACTTTATACGAGTGATGCTTAATATAAAGTAATGATATTTAAAATTTTGGGATCACTTCTCGGAGGTTCAGATGAAGATCTTTCTGTTATAGATCTTTGATCTCTGGATAGTGTGTGTAATGATAAGAGTGCCATAAAAGCACAATCGTGTTCACCATTTGTTTTATATCCCAATATAAAAGACAAATTCACCAAAATACACATTTTCTATCTCAACATATAAATATAATGTTCATAATATTATATTTGTCTTATTTCTAATATTTATGTATATTTTTAGTAATGTCTTAAAATTAAATTAAACTTTTTCATATTTATATTTAAAGCATAGTTAAAGATAAATAAACAAAAAAAACTTTTTTATGTGTTTTTCTTTCATATTCAGTAAAATTCATGATTTCATTAAAGCGATAATAAATTATTTTTATGAGCTTTACTTTAATTTCGACAAAATGTTCCCATAATTTAGTCAAAATAATATCATACATGTATATAAAAAATTATATTTTACATTTTACTAAATAATAAATAGCAAACGCGACAAAATATATATATATACTATTGACTTATGATTTGAGTGCAATTTTCTAGTCGATTATGAGATTTATTATTATTTTCGGTACGAAATGCTAAAAATTGCAGAATTTTTCGGCTAAATCAATGACTACATCCCTTTCCCCAACTGACAGACCCACCCATTTATTAATATAAGTTATCGTATAAATAGACACAAAACTATTTTCTTATGAATGACTTAATGGCATTGAATGTGACATTTAATAAAAGATTTATATCTGTGTAATGAAAATCGTGTGGAGATCATCAATAAAAATAATTTCAATTCATAATTTAATTTGAATACATTTTATTAATACATTTTTCCTAACATTGATTTTAATCCTCAGTGAATACCAGAATATATTCAGAATAATGTAAAAATATAATTAATTCATGACTTAAATGAAACCATTAGTAATGATTTAACGCTAATTAAAGTCAAGAATAAAATGTTTGATCATTTGATTAATAGACACGAAGTCTGCACAGTATTTACTTATCATATATTTTAATAAATCGTTTGTAAAGTTTTACAAAACATAAAAGGAGTGAATCTATCACCCATTGAATGCTTTGTTAATCACATCGACTTATTTTCACGACTTATTTGCAGTCGTTTTTCCTCTCAAAAGACTTGACGTTCAGCTAATAAGCTAAGAGTGATAGCAAGTCATCCAAACGCAGACTATTCACTCATTTTTCATCTCAAATTCCCACTTAAACTACGGAACAGAAATAGATTCATAAGCTTATCATTTGTAGTCACCTTTTCATATACCAGATAAGAGTGATAGCAAGTCATCCAAACGCAGACTATTCACTCATTTTTCATCTCAAATTCCCACTTAAACTACGGAACAGAAATAGATTCATAAGCTTATCATTTGTAGTCACCTTTTCATATACCAGAGCTTAAAATGTTTTCTATCAGTTGTACGCCACTACCTCCCCATCCCCTTTCAATATCATTTTCTGAATTGTAATCAAAAAATTGTTGCAATAATCGGATATTTTCAAAAATCAATACAGATATGGGCCTACAATATATTTGAGTGAGTGAGCACATATTTCTATTGTCATCATTTTTCAGGGATTAGTTTCTTTCACGAAAGCCGTGTATTAATTATTTTTACGCCAATTTTTATCGACTCTACAATATTATATAATACATTGAATTATTTCTATTTATAACGTATTGTTTTAAACTTATTGTTAAAAATATAAACCCATTAAAAAATAAATGTTATATAACAACGTTAGTTATATAATATACTGTTATTTCAGATTACTTGAAGTTTTAAAAGTATTATATAAAGTTTGGACAGAAATATGTTGAAAAGATTAATAATTATTTATAATCAATCAATCATTTCTATTTAGTTGTAAATGTTTTTATCAAAAAATACTTCAACACATATTTAATGATTTCAAAATGCTCACTCAATTTATAAACACATACTTTGCCAGTGAACTCAAATTGCTATTATTAAATATGGAGGGGATATCAATTAAAGTGAAGTATTATACTCTTCAGGACATACAAACTCAATGATAATCACGTCTCATAGCAAATATATAAATAAGATTTAAAATCAATTGAGTCTCGACATGATTAATATTTACGATACTTTATACGAGTGATGCTTAATATAAAGTAATGATATTTAAAATTTTGGGATCACTTCTCGGAGGTTCAATGTTATGCTCTCTGATATTTGCCGTAGTTTTTAGCCCAAAGCCATCATTAGTAGTAAAAAGCGGGAATGGTAGATCTAGGAACTGTATGTTTGATGTTGAGTGAGCACACATAGGATTAGTGATTTGCATCAATTTTTGGGCATTAAATATATAAAAGTAATGCTCATTCAAATTCGGACACATCTGGCATTAGTTCACATTACAAAGCGAATGGATGTCAGGGATGTATGGATGCTAGTGTACTGGGGATCGGGATCTGTAGGCGCTGTAGTGTATGGATGTTGCACTGTATGCCAGTTCACTTGTGTCACTACATACACACAGTGTTACGAAAGTGCCAGTCCTTAGCCACTCTAATAAGGCTCAACACATACTACTCAACGATTCTCTAAAAGTTTTTTCGAGTGAAAAATAAATGCATGTTTTGGACCCAAAAGTGCATTAATGAGAGGTATATGGCTGTGAGGGCTGTGCACAGGCCATGGATTATACACAACGATTACATACACATCCACTGCCAAAGACTAACTAAATATTACGCCAATAAATACAGTGCTCGGCGTGACTTCATCTTTAATTTGAGTCCCAACTGAATATATTCCGCACACAATATATACACGGAAAACGAAAATGCATTTTATTTTCATATTATATTAATTCAGCGAAAGTCCGCACAAATGAAAACATGGTTTGAATGAATCATTTTTTCCATATTTCAAAGCCTAGGCTACAGACACAGTGTTTGTAGCGTTTAGAGTACAGTAGAGGCTATGAATGAGATCATTATATTAATAATTAAGAGCTAATGAATTCATTTCACAAAAAAATTGTTCACTAACTGTAAGTATTTTGTGTTTCGATAAGTATTTGGTGGTAATAATTGCTCACATATTCTCGTAATCTTTTGAAAAATACCACAAATTTTAGGCTACATTTTGCGCGTAAAATAGGAAATGAAAGGATTTCTGATTATATCTTATTATTAGACTATTCATGCTTTTGGACAAAATCAGGTAATTAATGAAATGACTATTTTTGTTAACATATCGTGTTATGTCAAACATGGGTCTCATATGAATTGTTTTGTTCATTCAATGTACTAATTCTGATGTTTATATTATAGTTCATTAATATCTTATGAATATAACAAAAATGTTATCAAAACAAAAGAGAACAGAATATTCTTTACAATAGAATACTATTCAACACAAAAGTATATGAATTTATTATTGCATTTAATGCAAACCCAAAAGTTATTATATTTAGCTAAAGTGCTCCGAAAAATATAATATTTCATCCGGTTTGTTTTTACGCAAACTTTATTAAATGCATTTTTCATTCATTAAAAACATAATTTAATTCCAAACGCTATGAAAAGGGACCGCAA